TAAATCAGACTGGATCTTATGAAAATTCTAAAAAGCCAGCTTATAAGTTGGTTTATGAATAGACATGGGCAAATCAGATTGGATCTTGTAAGAGGTTCCACTTAACCGGAAGGTCTCGACAATAACTAGTTATGACGTTAACCTATCGGGCCAATTACGTAACTACTCAACGCAATCAGTCAAACCATTTAAAACCTAAACTTATCCACAACCGGGCCTCCATAATCGTTTACATATCGGGTCTCCATAACCGAACAATTAGTGTTTTAAAATTTCTCCCTATCACGTGTCACGCTTTCATTGGTGTTGTTTTGTGACCCTTTTGTCTTTTCTTGGTCTTTTTTGAACTTTTTTGGCTTTTAATTGATTAACTAACTAAAATTACCTTTTTACCCTTTTATTTATAGCATAAATAAAACGGTTTTAGTTTTTTTCTTTTCACACAAGCTCTCCCAATATCTCTCATATTTTATGTTATGGTTTAGTTTTTGAGCTCAATAAAAGTTCATTTTTATTTCCAGATATTTGAAATTGAAAAATCGACATTACAAGTCTTTTGGTTCTCAAACCGATGGACCTCAAATTAGGTCTAACGTTCTCAATAGTTTGGGAGCTCAACTCCCTGATTATTGTGTTATCGAACTAATCTAAGATCATAAGCGAAAAGCCTTGGTCTGGGAACAATTCATTTTGGTGAGGATGTTTAGCTAAATAAGAAGACCACAATGTAGAGATTGTAGTGTTCTTACGGCGTAGAGAAATTCCACTATAAAACGCTACATTCAAATTTCCCAGATTAAAAAACCAATGGAATTGTCGCAAGCGAAAACTTACACCAACCATTATCTGGATGTATAATGCGGAGATATGTCGGATGATGCAAGCAAATTTGGTGATTCAATTGCCTTTGTCATTCAGGAACTTTAACAATATTCAACTGACAAAGTGGATCCAGACATCCTTTCAATAGACATACCGTCAAGTCGTTCAACTTTAAAACATGATGCTTTTAAATTATGGAAAAATTTCATAAACAGAAATGCAAGATTTATTTCAAACTTGGTAACTTATGTCACTCTGACGTACGATGTTTAGAGTGTTCTGCACAATTTACCTCAATTGTATCTTTATGTGACGGCTCATTGGATTAAACCAACGAAGTGGTCAATGATAAAACACACGATTGCATTTGAGCGATTTGGTTACCTGCTTAGTTGAAACGAATTATATAAAATACTAAAAATAATTAGCATTTCTTTGAGCAATACATCTGATAATACCATATATATATATATATAGAGAGAGAGAGAGAGAGAGAGAGAGAAAGAGAGGAGGTTTACTTTGCAAACCACGTTATTTGTACAAACCGTACAAATCTTATTCAACAAATCATAATTTTTTATTTTGTTTATTTTTTTGTAATTATGAGAGGTTGATTAATAATTTTTATTGTGGAGGGTGTTAATCATGTATATTATCATCTTCATTTTTTTAATTTTAGAGAAATACATGAAACGGTTTCATTAAAATTTCATTAAGTATTATATCAAACAATTTCATAACCATATATTAAACAACTTCATTAGAAAAATATTATATGAAACAATTTCACAAGATTAAACAATTTCATGAAAAAATTTCATAAGATTAAACAATAAAATCGACGGATAAGGATGGTTTGCATGGTTTGTACAAATTGGATAGTTTGCATTTTATATATATATATATATATATATATATATATATATATATTGAAAATTAGGGGCTTTCAAACCTATATATGGTGATGCTTTTTTCCATACCCTTTGTGTGACCCCATAGCAAGGGGGAATGAAAGTTGCCATACATTTAGATTTATAATAATATTGATTTTTGTAAGACTAAGCTAATAACTCAATCATATAGAAGATATCGTGAAGATGTAGGTGTTAGGGTTTATAAATTGACATCAGGTATCGGGAACCCGATATACCCGTCTCGACGAGGCCGACGGTTCCCCACAAAACCGAGGACCGAGGATAGGATGGGGCTAGGGTAGGGCAATGCGATCCCCATCCCGTCTATTAAATATTTATTATTAAATAAATTGTTTATAAAAAATTAGATTTAATATATTTTTGATTTAAAAGCATTATTTTGTCATTTCTTGTATACTTTTTTTTTTCTTTTTTGATCTGTCTTTTTTTAGATCAAAAAATATGGAAAGCTAAAAGCGTTTGATCAAACAATTACATATAATGTTGTGATTTTTTCGCATACGAATATTTGATACACCATAAAAGCAAAATTTTAGAAATATATGAGATTTAAACATGGATCGTTTTGAATTGAGTTTCGTGTTTAACACATTTGATTTAAAATACTTCACATTAATGGGAAAAACCTTATGGGGATGTGATCATATTCCCCAGCTGAGACGAGAATAGAGATAATTGATAATTGCTATTACCCAACTGAAGAGGATCTCGAATTTGTAGAAAAATCAATTGTCAGTTTTAAATGTGTGCTTTATAGTTTATCTGAAACATATAATACTAAATTACGTAAAGATAAAACACAATTTGACGCTTTAGGTAAATGGAAAGCGAAAGAGCCAATTTACTAATATTGTGAGCGTAAAGAGTAAAGGGAAAAGTATTGCACTAACACTTTATAGTAATACAGTCTCACAAATACCGAACGTCAAAAAACTAGTAGTGACCACAATTAATTGCATATCATATTGATTCTAACTTTTTTTAAGGTTATTTATTGTTGACGATTTTAATCACCTGGATATCTTGGCATGATGGAAAGAAAACGAAAGCCAGTTTTCGATTCTCATCACCATGGCAAAACACCTACTACTAACTAGGAGTGCTCATGGGTTGAGTTGATCGAGTTGAGGACATTTTAACAACTCAATCCAATGTTTGCGGTTTGAGAAATCTTAACGCAACCCAACACAAACCAAAGTGCAACCCAACCCAACCTAAACCGTACGGGTTGGTCGGGTTGGTTGGGTTGATACTTTGGTACATTAATATATTTTCTTAACTTTGAATACGTATTTTAATAGGTTATTTCTCTACTCATAATTTCTTTTTCATCGTCAACCATTTGATACAACTTATTCGTACGTCTTAAATCTTACATATATCACATTCAACTAATTTTCTCACTTTACATATATATGTTCACAGTTACTGAACATATATACGAATGAGTTATATAGAGATGGAGAATAGATTAAAAATATATGTATATAAAGAGTATATATGATAATGTAATTTTCTAATGTACATGTTAATAAAAACTCAACAATCATACTAAATCCAACAAATAAAAGGATATCGGGTTCATCGGGTTGAGTTGAGTTTAAATAATAGTAATCCAATATCAACTCAATACCTACGTTTCGAAGATTTTACAACTGGAGTAGATATCAGGTTGCTTCGAGTTGAGTTATTTTGCATTAGGTTTGGTTGGGTTGGGTTGGGTTGGTCGAGTTTTTGAGCACCCCTACTACTAACACAACCGCTTTGGAATCTACCTTTTCTTTTGGTAGTAGGGTGTGTTTGGAACGAATGAAGCACTTACACTTGAATATGCTTGAGGTTTGCATTTTCCTCAACGATTATTTGGATGACTACGATCAAATTCAAGACACTTCTTCCATAAAGAAAGAACTTGCTTGTGTCGAAGAGGAATAACGGACGAAGAAGGAATCACATACTCCGAAAGTCCAACATTAACATGGGATGGCATAGCATCGGGTCCCCAAACTTCTGTTTATAGTTAAAGATTGGACTTTGTTTTTTTTCCCACGCCTTGTGGTCTATCAGTAAAGATAACTTTTTTTTTGGCATGATAAGTAATTAGATTCTCCTCTGTAAGTAGACAACACTACTCAGCCTCATATCTGTCAAAGTGGGAAGGTAAAGATGGAAGAGTTAGCAAGATTCTGCTTGGTAAACAGGTCAATTATTCAGGGTGGTTAGTGACTGTCGTGAGCCATTTACTTGGATTATATCGATGTAGATTGCCTCACAGAATATCAGCAGAACTTTTCCAAACATTTGTAATTCGTGAACTAATTAAAAAACATCTTGCTTCGAACATAGAAGTTACTAAGAGTAAAATTTGGAGAGAAAAAAAAAACGATTATATCGAAAATACTTCAGATAATCCTAGATGACCATCATGTATTGCTCGAATAAATAAAAGCTTATTTGATTGAAGTATATTTCATTGTTTAATTTAGAGTAAATTACGTTTTCAGTCCCTATGGTTTGTTGAAAAGTTCTATTTTCATCCTTATGGTTTTGAAATTATGATTTTCATCCTTATGGTTTTGAAATTATGATTTTCATTCCGATGGTTTAAAATTTATTACTCTTTTTGTTCTTATGATTTGAAATTTATTGCTTTTTTTGTCTCTATGTATACAATTCATTTCTACTTTAGTCCTTTATACTTAAATGTAGTGTTTTGCTCTTATAGACGAAAATAAAATTGAATTACAAATCATAGGGATGAAAATCGAAATTTCAAAACCGCAAGGACGAAATCTACAATTTTTAACAAAACACAAAGACGAAAAACGTAATTTACTCTTTTATTTATTAAATATTAATTATAATGTATTTATTATTTATATATAATAAGAAATTGACCATCGGTAACCAATTATCTATCGGTTACATCACTTAAGATAAGTACATTTTTTCATCCAAAACCGACTACAACCACTGTGCCAGTGATCATAACCGGGCCCAACTAGTTACTCGGTTTCATGTCTATTAATAACTTATTTAACGAAGCTTTTTCAATGAGCTAACATATGGTTGACATATCCCATCATGTTCCACGTACCAAATTTACAATTTTTTTTTAAATATATAATATTTATATATGGCAAATGCAACAAATAAACTCGCATACCCTTCTCACTTTTGGTGAGGTTTGAATCCCTGACTTATTAGAAGACCAAAGGCTACAATACCGCTAGTAAAAAGAAGTTTGGTCCAAATTCACAAAGCTGCCAACCAAAATCCAGCATTCTTATTTAATTCCAATGGGAGACTCCCTTGACACCATGCTACAAAACACCCTCTTTTGCCACAACAGAATCACCACCTGATTTGCAAATAAATTGCAAAACTTTCACTAAATTACACCAAATAAAAACCAGTAAAACATTTTTCTTCCCAACCCAAGAGGCTAACATGAACTGTTGATATCCGGTGATCCGATCAGCATTTTTACGATATCGGCGGTTCTGGTTCCTTGACAACTTCATCAGCAGCCGCTTTAATGGGCTCAAAATAAATGCCATTTTGGCCTAGAGTCGCACACAGCTCGAATTTTCCAGCCGTAAGTGATTCATAATCTTCACTTGAAATTGTTCTTTGCAGGACCGAATACGCACAGTAGTCTACTTCGCACACTCTCAAATTTTCTTGTGCATATGCAGAAACCGAGACCCCAACGCCTTCCCCTGCATTAGAAATTCTAACATTATAAGGCGCTCGTTTTTTTACATGTAACAACTAACTTTCTCTCTTTCACACATCGGTGTTTTCATGGAAACAATTTCTATGGTCTGAGCTAGAGGTTAGTTCTGCTTACATCTTACCTCAATATTGCGATATATCGTCGATATATCGGCGATATATCGGATATCGCTCGAAAAAAAAATATCGGAACTCAAATATCAGTCAAAATATCGGGAACGATATTATCGGCGATATTTTCCGATATTTAGCGATTTTTAGCGATATTTTGAGGTAAAAATCGGTTTGATATACCGATTTTATAAGGTTTAAAATTTGGGCTGATAACTTATTTTGTTATTTCATGGGCCTAATTTTTTGGGCTGATAACTTAAATTTGTTATTCCATATGCCTAATTTTTTGGGCTGATAATTAAAYTAGGTCTGAATCTTAAAATAGTTCCACAACGTCTTCTTCTTTCTTTAGACTTCGACTTCTTCACGTTCAACTTCAGAGTCTCGACTTCTTCTTCACACTTCGACTTCAACTTCAGTCTTCAGACTTCGACTTCTTCTTCTTCACACTTCGACTTCAACTTCAGTCTTCAGACTTCGACTTCGACTTCTTCTTCAGACTTCGACTTCGACTTCAAGTCTTCAACTTCGACTTCTCGGTCTCTCTTCTCGATCTCTTCAGACTTTGAAACTATATTTCTAAACTCTAATTAATGCATATTATATATATAATTCTAAGAAATATTATGTTAACCGCTATTTCCGATATATCACCGATATATTACCGATATAACCGATATATCGAATATCGGTCCTGACCGATATTTCGTATTCTGACCGATATAACAGCATAGCTTACCTGAAGGGTGGGATATGCTAGATTCATTTGGTTTTCTATGTAACAACTATCTCTCTCTCTCTCTCTCTCTCTCTCTCTCTCTCTCTCACACTCTTTTTATATTTGGTGGGTTCTCATGAAAACAACCTCTCTATTCTTTGAGGGTACATCTTACCCCCCATCCCCACCTTTGGATGCTTTTCTAAATGTAAATACTTTCTCTTTTTCACACACATTCCACATGACGGGGGTCTTCACATGGAAAAAGTTGCTCTATTCTTTGGGGTAGAGGTTAAATTTGCATCTTACACCTTTGGATGGGATATACAGGCTTGATTTGGTTTTTTAAATGTAAAAACTAACTCTCCCTCCACATTTTTTACATGTCGAGGGTCTTCATAGAAACAATCCCTCTATTATTTGAGATAGTGGTCAAGTTTGCATACATCTTACCCCTTGTTCCATCTCTCGGGTGGGATAACTAGGATGGTTTTGTTTTTAATTTTTTATTTCCTGATTAACCTGGATATCCAACCCGCTATGCGAAGCGACTAATCTGCTTGCAAATAGCCCGGAGTCACCGCATTTGAACCTCCATGGCCACAAGGGGATTTTTATTCCTCCTTGGAGCCAAGCTCAAACCCATCAGGCACCATCCTTGTCGATCAATGTTGTAGGCAAATAGTCCTACTAGTATAGTCAAGAGGTTAGAGGGAGGGAGCTTGTTCAGATGTCGAGAACTCGAATATTGAAAGTGAAATATTGTAAGACACTTGTTTTTTAATGTAACACAATAAGAAAATCTACTTGATTGTTATTAAACAAAACCAAACAAATCCAGTATATCTCACTCAAAAGCAAGATCAGGGGAGGTGGGATTTATACTGACCTGTCCTGGCCTCTACGTTAAAGTGTAGAGCAGTTATTTCCGGGAAAATCTTTGAGTTGTGCAAAAGTGAGTGAAAAGGAAAAGAAAAAAGACTAGTAAATAGTAAGTGCGCTAGGGGTTGGAGCTCTAGATGTTGGAGCATAATTACAATAACTTACATGTCCGAGTTTGAATCCTACACTCGTGTATGGTGACTTGGGGGTCCAGAAAAAAGAACATCTTAGCATGAAACTCAAATTGAGGAACGAGAAACTAACACTTACCATGTGTAACAAGCAACAAGTTTTCGGTAGGATATTTATCCGCAAGGGTCTTGATAATGTTCTTGTACCTGTCTCTAGCGCTCTCTATTGACTCTTCCCACTTTGGCAGCTGATAGCGTTTATCGTCAAATAAATAGTGTTAGTAGAACAACAGTTCTGAAATTTCTCATCTATCTACTACATTCTCAATTGAAAGTGGTGAGAGATTTGTGGTCTTATAACCTCTTTGTAAACTCGTTCTACACTTGAATCCACTGATCCTTCTGGTAGAACTGCTTCACATTCTGAAATATTGAAGGCAAAGTCTCCATCTTTAGGTGCATTCTCAGCCCGTATGGCTCGCTTGTTCAGCATTTCACATAGACCATACTCAACAGACACCTGCAACACGTCAAAATGTCAAACCAGGAGGTGGGGTGGGGTGGGGTGGGTTGGGTTGGGTTGAGAGAGTGGGTGTTTAGATTCTTAACTCTTTTCTAATACATGCAATAACAAAGAAAGGTGTCACTAAATGAAATGTCTATCTCTATTGCATCAAGTAGAGATGTATAATGTATATGACCTGAGTCAAGCCTCAGCTAGTCTGGCTTGTGACTTGCCAAGCCTGAAAAGTTAAGGCTCGTGTTCGTATACTTTTGGTATCTATGAGCTTGTATTATTCGGTTTCTATGAGCTTGTATACAACCAAAAATAAGAACTTAAATAAATTTAAAAAAAAGAATCATGTCAAGAAATTAAAGGTTTCTAAGAGGCTAACACAATTGAGCTAAATAGATATAAACTAGTGATTGGATATCCCCATTCAGGGCCATTTAAGTGGCCACCTACACGTTAAATATCCTCTCACCCCTTTGATTAGTTAGTGCCACTTAATTGGCCTGCTAGATGTTAGGCATCCTTACTGCTTCAATAGCAAATACTTGATTAATTAAGCATTTTAAAAGATGATATGGGAATAATCAATTTTTCTCAACTTGTGTTCATCAATTTGCTTTTTTTCAGCTAGAAGGTAACATCCCAATCCTTTTTGAGTAATTGTCACGATGGAAACAGTGAAGATGGTCATTTAGAATAGTAATACTTACCAAGGATTAAATTCTACATATTTAAGTCAACAGCTTCCATATCTGATTAAATATCAGTTTAATTCCCACTTAAGATAGCAATCATTAGAAGATCACTTAAATACTTAGTTTCACTTAATGTTTTCTAGGGGGTGTCAATATAAATTAATCGCGACTCAAATTGACTCGGTGGGTCCGGCTTATTTGAATTTGCTGAGTTGTCGAGCCTGACCCACACTATGCTCAAGCTCGGGTCCAATAGTCAAACCGTGAGCTAGGATAGATCTTATCTCATGCCCCACAATCTCTATTTTTTCCACACGTTACAAAGATAAGACATATATAATGAGTTCAATTGTTCCAAGCCCAAAGCATGGTGTGATAGTTCCTAGGAACTTAGAACACCACATGATAGACTTCTTCTATTCGACATCAAGGGCAAGGAGGGATGGACACTTTTCTAAGAACATCAATGATGGCTGCTAGATCACAACTAACTACTTTATGTTAAAAAGATTCAAGAAACCATATCCGAGAAGGTTGAAAATTTTGTCAACATATCCTTGTTAGCTCACCAAGGATACTCTAGGGTGGAGTTCAATTCTAGGTTACCATCAAAGAGTCTCTCTTATTTGAACATGTTCAATCAAACAACTAATTACTGTAATTACTCTTTAATGTTAAGCTTAATGAAAACTTCAAGCCTCTAATCAATGAACAAAACGTCCAACTGTATCAAGCTCATAGATCCCTTCTAAGCATTAACCTAAAAACTGACCACAAATTCACCTTGATCATCAGGATCACAATCTTCTAACAGTTAACACTTTATTCGATCTCAAAACTGAGAAAACTATAAGCAAATAAAACAAGCAAAGATTGAAATTAAGGATCAGAATCATCTCCTTTGTGCATATCAGTCACTTATATATATGAAGACATTGGGCCCAATTCTGTTAGATGATGCACATCAGGTGCAATCCATGATTCTGTTAGCCTTTTGTTTACAAAAACAATCGATATTAAGAAAAACGAAATCAAATAATAATAATATGAAAAACAAGTGATGAGAATACGACCTTGAGCTTAGAAGGATCGATGACAACACCGTCGGCAGAGGTCTTGTGAGTCACATCATCATTAACGGCACAGAGAGCATGAATAACCTCAGATGCGGTCTGAAGGCACCGGAGAAACGGTGATACAAAGACACGATGGATCGGAAAAGTTAGGTTGTTGAATTTCTTACCGGTACAGAATGCCCTAACCTTACCCTCGAAGACCAAAGGTGGATCCCATGGCCTAGCAGCCTTCTCCGTCCATAGTGGCTCGAAGTTGTCAATCCGGTCCGCATGGCGCATGACGACGACATTCTGATGAGTCCGTTGGCCGGGATCCATGGTTGGTTAAAGTATCCTGTGAAGAGTGAAAGAATGTTGGGTTTTTATAGGTGAAGAAATCGTTGGCTTCACGTGCTTCCTTGCAGTTTCCGGTAGACAACATGGAATCTTCCTCAGACATTGCCAACGACTGCGTGACAACCACGTGTTTTTTTTTTTTTTCTTTTTCCTCTCTATTGATTTTTTTTAATATAAAAAAAGATCTGAACCCTTGTCATTTTTAATCTTATGTCTATCTATGAATTGTATTTTAAAAGGTCAGACAAATACCTAATATTAACAAAATATACCAAAACATTTGTTTGGTTTTTCATACAATGGCTAATACTTTGCTGCTTACATCATCTGTAGGTATTGAAATTCTATTATCAATTCCATTTTTTATCTATAAAGAAAGAATAAGCTCGAGTCAATGGTAAAAATTATGTATAGCTAAATATAGCTAACAAGTTTATTGAGAACATGATATATTGTCGAGTGCATTATGTTAAGTATAATAATACGCTAATTGTACTTAGATAGGGATTTTTAGCTCCCACCACCTCTTTGTCATCATTCTTCTGACGAAATGGATTTTTTTTCCTTTACACCATATACATGTAATATATAACATATACACATATTATCCTTCATAATATCACATCTCTCTCTCTCACACACACACACATATATATATATATATATATATACTATATTATAAAGCATTTGACAAAAACTCTTAAAAATTATTTTTTATGTATAAAGTACTGTTTATTAATGCATATTACTTAAAACTCAAGATTGCAAGTAGATTGTGCGTAAGTACAACTTATTAAAGCTCCATATCTGAATTCGTGTAACTAACTGTAGATAAACATAATCAAATACATGATAAATATCTCATTTTAAATATAATTAGAATAATCATTGAATTCTAACGAAATACTTAATTATTATTTTTATAAAATATTGTATTATTATATCAAAAATAGTTGATTTGATATTAACATTGATATATTTATTACAAATTTTTATGATATTTTCAAATTTATATTTTATTCAAAAATAAAATCATTATTGCTTTCTTAAAAACACATAAAATCGTATTATAACATCGACATAGACAAATAATAAAATAGAACATTAAAATTAAGATGTGTCTTGTTGCATTGCGCGAATACCCTTTTAGTATGTATATATATATATATATATATGAATAAAATATATTTTTATACATAGCATGCATCCCATGGTAGAGCACATAAAGTTCACCTATTAGCGCTGGGTAAATCTGAAATCAATCTTGGAGCGATACCTTCGAAACCTCTTACATATCATATCATACCTACGAGGGTATCTACCATTACATTCATTCATAAACTCCCAATCATCCACCCTAACATGATCTGATTCACCTAAATTGGAACATCATATTGATAATCCCAACACTGAACACGTTATAAAACCTAATAATTTCTCCTACTTCCAGAAGATTTTAGGCTGTACGAAGGCTCTCTTCCACATTCTTATGTCACTATGAACTTCTTCAAGTTGGTTAGCTCTTTTTGCATCCTCTCAACTTGTGTGCACAAAGCAGCTAGCTCGTTCTGTATAATGCCTCGAAGACTCTCAACTTCTCGGCAAAACTCTGTCTTGATAATACCAAACGTGGTCATGACATCTTCTTGGACATCCATGTCGTTCGTTTCCAAGACTCCAAGTTGCTAGTGAATGTCTTCAAGATGATGATCAAGGTCATTGATCCTTCTTGTTAAATCTTCGGTGGACTTCTTCACATCAACAACTCTAGGATTCAGGCTGGCCATCAATTCCTTTTATCACCTTCAGCTCTTATATTGAGTGCTGGCCCCTTATGATGAGACTACTCCCGTCCCTAGGTCTCCTCATAAATCTTAATATTTGAATCCATGTACGTTGTTCGCCGTCGCCTCGAACCTGACTCGGATACCAATTGTCAGAGAGTTGTCTTAGCAAGCTTGTGTGCAACTTTAGTTCTCAAACTAAGTCAATCAAACTAAAGTGATATCAAACAACAATGCTAGGAAGATTGGTGGAACTGACAGAAAAGTTTCACAAAGATAAATTTATCCACCTACAACTATTTCTCTATTTTGAAAATTGCAACCTTAATTATATCAGTAAAATTTCTCTATTTTGAAAATTGCAACCTTAATTATATCAGTAAAANATTTCTCTATTTTGAAAATTGCAACCTTAATTATATCAGTAAAATTTCTCTATTTTGAAAATTGCAACCTTAATTATATCAGTAAAACATTTAAACCTCCAACAAATTAAAAAAAAATAAACTGTAATTTCTAACAATGTTTTAAACAAAAAATGTATAAAAAATGAAGGTTTCCACCAAAAATTTTATAAAATGGAAGCTTCTATCAACTATTAGTGATGATTCTTGGGAAAGCAATAGATGTAGAAAAGAGGAAACCGACCAAAACCAAGTTGTATTTTGGATAGGATGAAGTGTGGACGTCAATTGTTTTACTTGCTTTTGAGAAAGAAATAAATATTAATGGAATATTAAATCACAGAATAATCAAATAAATTTATCCAGTTCTTTTGTATATATTGTGATAATCGTGAGAACTTTTATCTTAAGATATTATTTCATATGATTTTTTCTCATTTCAAGATTATCATGATTTTATAGGTTCTCAAAAGAAGTTACCTTATATATATGTGGAGACCTTTTAAGAACTCTTAAAATTATGAAATCTTTGAGAACTACTGTATCATGTGCTATTTCATATGATTTTTTCATCTATGAATAGAATTTAATGTAGTAATCAACATATATATTTGTTTCATGGGTACTCGGTTCATGATACATATGAAACAAACTCAATGAGAAACAAATATATGTTAATCAATACATTAAATACTATACTTTGATAGAAAGATATCATATGAAACAAAACCTTAAGGTATATTAAATTCTCAGACTTTTTAATTCATGAAATTATTTGTTCCAATTTAGACCATAAAAACTAGTTGAAAATAAAATATAATATATATTTAAAACTCTCCTTTTTATTTTTTCTCTGACCCCCCACTCTCTATAATATACATGTATACGCATAATTGAATGTGCATACAAGATAAACACATTATGAACATGTTCTTATAATATTTTTATAGTTTGTGAGCACATTACGAAAACACTTTAAATCTACGAAATTTGATATAACTTGAGAATATATTGTGAACACCAATTAAATCAGTAAAAGTAAATCTAAATCTACTACTTTATGAACACTATGTGAATCTTGTGAATACTGTAGCAAAAAAAAATTCTTAAGCTTGTTTACATTGTGTTCACTTTATGTGCAGTTTTAATTGTGTATGAATATTATGAAGAGAGAAAGAGAAGTATGAAATTTCTTAAAAAGTGCATTAATTTTTATTTGAATAATGATAATTATCTTCTTGATTAATACCATTAATTATTTTAAATTAATGACTTAAGATGTATATTTAACAAATTTTATAGTTTTCAAATGATTAACACGGGCATATATATGTAGAGAGAGGGGAGAAGGATCATGGGAGAAGATAAACATTTTGGGAGAAGGTGAGAAGTTTCAATATCATACATGATTACACTTCTTTAGGTGTGTTTAATCATATATGATTAAACGTCTATATGTTGTCAATGTAACATGTGTTTAAATCATATATGATATTTATATTCTTGCATATTTACAAAATATTACTGTTTGAATATATATATATATATATATATATATATATATATATGTGTGTGTATGGGGGGGGGGGGTTATTTATTGTTTACTTCGTTAGATTTTTGATGATTTTTTCTTTTAATTAACGGTGTATCAATGTGATGCTATGTGATATAAGATTTTATTTTAAACAAAAACAAAAATGTTAACACAACTTCTCGTTGAAAAATTAAATCCGAAATTTATGTTTGGAAAATAAAAATAAAAATTACAATTGGTTGAACATGTTTTTCTTGATTAATAAACATTAATATCTAACAAATTTTAGAGTTCTTAAATGACTAGATCCCCCTCTTCACACACATACACACACATGTATATATATATATATATATATGTGTGTGTGTGTGTGTGTGTGTGTGTGTGTGTATAGAGAGAAAGGAAAATTCAAATGCAAACTCAATTTTCATTGTAAACGCGGGGATTGATCTCGGTCTTTCATTTTATTTGATCCAATAACTCATATTAAATATAGTTTCAATTAAAACTATTAATTAAGATAATTAGGGATAAATATATATGTATATATAATTTCAATCTGCACCAACCTTTTTTGACTTTTTATTTTCTTTTTTAATTAATTTTTTTTTACCTACTTAAAAGTCTAAAGTCAATTATCTTAAAAATTATTAATATTTTAATCAAACAAATTACATTAAAAAAATTCATGCTCTTCAATATAATATCTATCTTTTTATAGATTTTTTTCGTTTTAACTGTTTTTTTACGTGAAATGATATATATTCATCATGAAAATTTATGTACGTTCAAATGAGTACAACAACTCGACACCGTAAGTCTGTAACTCGACATCACCTTCAAGACTTTATTCAACATCGTAAGGCACCACGTTCTTCATTACCGTAACCCAACATCCATCGAGACCGATCGAGAACCCATCGAGACCGAGCAAGAACTTATCGAGACCGAGCGAGAACCTACCGAGACTGATCATGAATGGTTGAGAATCCATCCATTAACTTAGTATATGTTTATATGTGTTAAACCATAACCTACCACATTTATTTTCCATCGAGAACCTATCAATTGATTTATCATTTCTATGTGTATAAAACCATAGACTATCATTTTCATATTTTATCGAGAAGGATCAAGACCAATCAAGAACACATCAAGATCAATCGACAACCTATTGGGACCGATTGACACCAATCGAGGTTAATCAAGAACCTATCCATTGACTTGTGTGTGATTGTTTGTGTAAAACCATAACCTAATCGGGAAATCAATCGAGACGA